TACAGTTATTCTTTGCTACCTAGACTCCCAAAACATTTTCACCCTTTCCCTTCACCTCCTTTGCTTTCTTTACTGCTGCTCCTCCAGCCACTCCACATCATCCAGTTCTAAGTAAGGTACTGTAGCTCTGTCTCTGCCTCCTCAAGAGCTCATCCCAGTCCACAGCACTCCTCACAGTAATTTTCCCTGGACACCCCAGTCTTCTCCATATCCTTTTGCCCTTCTGAATAAAACCTAGAAGCTGCAACAGTAGAGACAAGCACCATCAGCAGCCTAATTTATCTTCCTAAGCACACTGAAATCATTAAATCTCTCTCCACATGCCCTAGAACACTTAGTACAAAAGAACATACTCAGCCACCACTGCAAGCAAAATGAAACAGAAGGAGCAGCCTTCCACCTTAGGACATATCCTTTCTTCATCCTGCCTTTCTCCGTCCCAGCCTCTATAAAAGGATCCGGACTATGGGTCTCCTAACTCTATTCTCTTACCTTCTCAATTGCACACGCCCCCAACAAAGTTGGTAACATACAAGAATTTCAGCCACAGGACACAAATCTTAAGCCTGTGTTATGTCACAGCACAATTCCAAAGTTTGCCAGCTACCTCCAGCTTCATAATACTGGCATATAGCAATGCAACAGCTTGCCACTTCAGGTTTCCTTACCAGCTTTATACTGCCTTCTATTTCATCTTGTTCCAGTACATCTCTTGTTGCACCCTCCTATTTAAGCAGAGCAGTAGATATTCCCTGCTCCAAGTCGCTTGCACATATGCTTGTTGAGAGAGGTATGATACAACAGGAATTTTGTGACTGGGCATATGCTTGAGTTAATGTAGATTTATTTTCTCTGTAACACACACGTATTCCTGTTATTAGCAGTACCAGACACACAACAGTTAGAAAGCAGCAGGAACACAGTCAGACCCTTCCTGACTGTATGTGCTACAAACATTCAGATTATATCATGACTTGCTATGCTTCCCTCCTGTCCCAACTTTAAAGTTGAGATGGGGAAAAGCAGCATTCAAGTAATTAGAGAATAGTTTACTTGTACATGTGTGTTAAACTACAGTCCCCTCTCCTTCCCCACTGTCCTATACTTCCTGTTCAAACTTCTCATCCCATCTCGCTTGTTTCTCCACTGCTTATCATGCCCTCCTGCACTCCACCGCTAGTTCCCTTTTCTCCCCATACCCTGAGGTTCCCATCAGATCTCTTTCTCTCCCCAGGACTGAAAGTTCACAGTGAACATAAAGTTCATTCATAAAGTTCATTCTTATTTCCTTCTCCAGGTAGACTCCTCCAGACTCCCTGGAGCACTCTCAAGACTCCAGACAACTAGTTTCGGGTTGTGTCTCTTTCCTGCCTCAGTTCCTTGTTCCTTTACTCCAACAAATCCAAGACAGCTTTCCTCACCACTGAGGCTGGCTGCATATATGCAACACACACACACAAATTTCTAAACTCAACTTCTGTCTTTACAAGCTCTTTGTCCAAAATGACTCCTTTTCTTGACTTCGTTTCTCTTCCCTTCCTCATCACAAAGCTCCAGGGAGCAAACAGATGGTTGCTAAAAACATGGCCAGAAAACGGATTCTCCTTCCTGGAGTGTGCCTGTGCCCCTACACTCCCTTTAGCTCAGGGCCAGGTCCAGAGACTCCTGGTCTCAGCTTCAGCTGAAACATACCCAGCCCCTGTGAAAGGATGGTCTGTATGCTGCCTGGACAGGGCTACAGCAGCAGACCTCAAAAAGGCTCACAAAGGGCAATGTCCCCAAATTTATGTCATCGTATCTATGAGCAGCAATTTTACAAAGGCTTACAACTTGCCCAAAATTTGGCCTGATAAAAAGTCACATGGCACCACCGCTCTAAAATGCTCTACAAAGCAGCCCTTGCATTATTATTGTTTTAACCATGGCCAGAACGTTCTTCTACCACCATCCCCATTCTCTGCAAGAGCTGAATGGCTTTTACTCAGATCAGGAATAAATGAACAAACCAACTGGCCAAAACCACTCCAGAAAACGGCCCAAGACAGGCAACTCATGCGTACGCACGACGAGCTGACTGAGTTAGCTCTGCACAGTTATAAATGATTGAGAAGAGGGCAGACCAGTGTGGAAGTGAAGAGAGCCGGGGGAAAAAAAAGATGAGATAAAAGCCAACCCAAATCATAATACATTAACATATGACAACGTTCTGACTTCACTACTACCACTGTTGCTTTTATAAATTCCTCTTTGGCGAAAAGGTCTGAAGGCTTTAGGACATATTCATCACCTCTCTCCGATACTGAGTCTCCAGTTACCAGGATCCCCAAACGCTTTCAAGCTTTACGCCGACAACAACAAGACGAAATCGGATATGCACAATACACCTCATCTCTTTTACAGTCCCAAGCTGCAGCTCTGGTAACACAACGGGCACGAAGCTTTTGCCACCCTCCCCTGCAGAGCAACCTCTTGGCTCTCTTCTTCACTCCGGCTAGGAAAGGGCGACCCGCTCCCCACCACGGCTGGCGGGAGGAGAGCCTGCTCCCCTCACCATCGCGGGGGGTGTGTGTGGTTGCTTCGTACCCAGCTGGGGAAGGGAGGAGAGGGGACCCCGCTCCTCGCCACTGGCTCCTCACTGAGGGGAGCCCCCTCGGCGGGAAAAACCCCGCCGGGGGGGGTTCCCCG